TAATCAAGTATCTATGTTTTTTAGAGATATCTCGACCAGTAAAGAGAGAAATGTGGGAAATTCAGTGAATATGCCGAAGAATCCTGGACTATCACAGGCGTCTTCTCAGGGAAAGCCAGAGAAGGGTCAGCCAAGTCAAGGTACCGAATACAGGCCATTCCTGAGTACTGAGTCACATAATACCATTTCCAGAGTCATGGCTATCAGTTCTGGTGGTTCTTCTTGTGCAGGCTCTGCACAGAAATGTTCGAATACTCAATCCACAGCGTCGGTAGATGGAAACATTGCAGTTGAAACTGCAAAGCTTATTCCGGGAAAATCCTCTATGAGATCTGATGGCCATGGAAAGCTTTCCAAGAAAGATGTTGGAAACAGTAAACTGGAACAAGGAGTCCTAGTCGTTGACAATCCACCACATGCAACACATGATGATGATGGCTCGATAGAGATGGTAATCGCTGAACCGGAGGTCAATTCATCAGTGGATGAACATCTCGACGATAGTGATGAAGAGTTGCCTTATTATTCTGATATTGAGGCTATGGTAACACGTAATTTCTGTTCTTATTATGCATGATTCATATTTCCATGTATAAAAAGTTGTTTGCATTCAATTTTTTTTCTCTCAGTTTTTGAATTCTTTTTATTTATTATGCCTTAACCCAAAAATATCGCTGTCAATTCAGATACTTGATATGGATTTGGATCCTGATGATCACGATGTTTTTAAGCGTGAAGGTAATTCAGCATCTCTTCACATTCAACATAAATTATTTTGTCCTTAAGTGTTTTATTTTCTCCCAGATACTCTAACATGTGGCACAGCTATGAATATTCACAAGTTTGCGTGATTGGGACCTGTGAAATCCAATTCATGTTACCGTTCTATGGCATTTTGTGGTGGAAACATACGGGTTCTTGTTGAGTGTGGCACGCAAGCATTACTTGAAGTTGGAAAACTGAGTTGTATAGTTCATAATGTATTGGACTGCGTTGTGGTTGTTTGTCACTTACAGTTGCCAAGTATCAGAATGAGGACACCAAAAGAGCAATTGCCAGACTTGAGCAGGCTGCTTACTCATACATGCAAAGAGCCATTGCTTCGCATGCCGCTTTTGCTGTTTTGTATGGCAGACGTTCAAAACATTACATCAAGAAACCCGAGGTATTATGATTATAATATATCAATTTGGAGCATCTTCTCATTGTTCTTATCGTTGATTAGTGAAACCTCCAAGGAATGATAATCTGTTTAGAGCATTGAGCATTGTTCCTCTATGGTCTGGTCCTGCGTAGGTTCTGCTTGGCAGGTCAACAGAAGACCTCGTCGTGGACATTGATTTGGGAAGAGAAAAGCGTGGTAGCAAAATATCTCGACGGCAGGTCATGCTAGAAGCTGTTTTTGATTATTTGCTTCTGTAATTTTTGTGGGAACTGTCCCTGAAT